TATTCTATAGATACATTTATATACACATACATATACATATATATGTATATATTCCAGAGAACTTTCTCCATGCCTCAGACAATTATAGACATAGTTGGAACTTAAAAAAATTGTTCAGGAACAAACAACGACAAAAAGTACAAATTCTCCATCTTTAAATTGTGAGGCTCTAATAATATTTAATTATTTAATTTGGATCACTCTCTCCTCAAACCCTGGACACATGGTGCAATATATACCAGCCGTGCATGATTTACAAAATTTCAATTGTTATAATAATCTTTACATACACACACATGTATACGTATATGTGTATGTATATGCCACGTGTACCTTACCCTTTTAATATAGGCTGGTGGGCAATCCAACAAAATAAAAAGGTGAAATCCCAGAAACTTTTCATGTCCTCCCCCCCATGTATTCCTCCATATCCAAAAAGCCTCAAGGTTTGCCATATCATGATTCTCTTCATCCATATCTACATACATTTATATATATATATATATAATATATATAGAGAGTATATATATAAAGGCTTAAACTTAGTTTTCTATTTAACCCCATATATTTTTTTTTATTTTAAAGTATCTATTCTTTTTTATTTTAAATTATCTTTAAACAAAGTTAAGTCACTATTAAGTCATCGCATCCTCGTGTGACTTAATTTGTCGGTGACGGAAACTTGCTTGTGTACCGAGATGGAAGCTGACGTGAAAAAAAATTTTACAGTCATTATTGAGTGAAAAATCAATGATTTCTATTCTCATATTCATATATCGAATGATCTCTAATAATTTTTTATTAACGATATCGTGGATCTCTTAACAAAAGATGTACATGACGATTTCTTAAATATTTTAAAATCTTTTTTATCATCTTGTACAAAAAAAATAAAAATCAATGACACATGGCGGGTCACATGGTGTTGATTAATTTTGACTTAATTTTTGTAAAATGTAGGTGTTGATTTAGAAAAAAACTATAAAGGCTTAGAGATGTTGCATTGATTTTTTTTTATATTCATATTTAAGCCCATATGTATATATATGCGCTAAGAATAGATATATGGCATACATATGTATATTTTGATTATACATGTTCACATACCCGATTATACATACACACATACATAGAGACATGCGTGCATGGGTTGATAAGTTAAAGAAATATATAAACAAAGGAATCTAGATAAGCAAAAAGGACCTTTAACTAGTTGTGTGCTCATGTATATTCACCAAGGCAAGAGTTGGATTCTTGTCGTGCGCACGTGTAAGAGTTGGGATAGTGGTTCACACGTGTGAGCATGATATATATATATATATATACACACACACACACGCACACACACACACATATATTTATGTCCCTGTACGAGTGTGTGTATAAGCAGCACTAGTTGTTGGCTTGTAATGCACTCTAGCTAAGCTAGCTGGTAGACTAGCTACAACCGTATTCTATATATATATTTGAGATATATATATATATATATATATATTAGATACACTGGTGTTTCTTTCTAAATAGCTTCCCCACGTGCGAGAGAGAGGAGGAGGAGGAGGAGGAGGAGGAGGAGGAGAAGAATCCTAGCTAGTGGGTGGGCACAGGACAAAGAGTTGAAGCCACCGAAAGAAAATCTCTGTCTCAATCTTTCTCCATAAGGGATTCAAAGAAGGTGATCTCGAGAATCCTTTCGTAATTGACTAATACCTTTACATACATATATATGTATAGTCATTTTTCTTCTGTCTTTGTTACATGTAGTTTTCTAAGAAGGTGTATAACAGCCCATAAAATCTATGCAAAAAGCTGACAAACAACTGGCAAATAATTTTTTTTTTGCTTAACTTTTTGGTTCCATAAATTGAGGCAAAAGATGTAAATTAATGTATATATATGTCTATGTACGACTAATATTTAACACTGATCACATGGGTAGTACGTATTAGCCTTAATGAAGAAATTATAAGGATCTCAAACGTGTGTGTGTGTGTATATATATATATATATTATGAATAATCAGCAGCCAACTTGTAGGTTCTCAGTCCATGAGAAAACAGTAGTCTCTTTCCTGTAAAGCCACTTTATAAATTAGGGCATCTAAATAAAGCACGTTCCCTTTTGAATGTTCTTTGTTCAACAGAAGAGAAGTCTACTATACACTGTCCCTATAAATACTCCACCATGAAAGCTTAAGTTCCAACAAGCCTTGAGCTTTTTAAGTTTTTTCCAAAAACCCTTTTCATCACCTTTAACTTCCCCCCTCTCCCACCCTCCCTTCCATTCTTAATCACCATTAGATCGAATTCACCCCGAATTCGATCTAATGGTTTTTCGATTCTAATAACTCCATTCCCGAAGTTGTAAATACTTCGCTTAAACTTAGTCATCTCGATCGATTGTGTTATATTACCCAGAAAAAGAACTTATTATCATGGACAAGGTGATGAGATTAGCTTCTGAGAAGGGCGTGGTGATATTCAGCAAGAGCTCTTGCTGTCTCTGCTACGCTGTGAATATACTGTTTCAAGAACTTGGCGTGAGGCCATTGATGTACGAGATTGATCAGGACCCGGAGGGGCGGGAGATGGAGAAAGCGCTAATGAGGTTGGGCTGCAATGCGCCGGTACCGGCGGTTTTCATTGCCGGAAAACTGATCGGATCAACCAACGAGGTCATGTCACTTCACTTAAGCGGCTCGCTCATTCCTCAGCTCAAGCCCTACATGCAGCAAACTATGTCCTAAATTAGTAATTATCATAATTTATCATGACCAAAATGGAATTAGAATAAACTTCTGGGGCCTTATCAAATTATCATTATTATTATTAAGTGTGTATTTTGTAGTTTCTCCCCCCCCCCCCCCCCCCCCCATCCCCATGTTGGTTTCAAGCTGTACTTGGTAGTTTAAGTTGGATTAATAGCTTATAGTTTGCTTGTGTAATCTCTGTTTATCTTTATTAATGAAATTAATTAGCTTTAATATAATGTATTTATTTCTCAATTTAATTAAAATGTAAGTACTACTTTAATTTTATTTGAAATTATATTTTTTTTTTGTAAAAATCTTTAGTTAAAATTAAAAAAAAAATTGTACAAATAAATTGAATTCCAAGCTTACCCTAATTCAAATTAAGCTACTATGCTTTTGGCTATAAGTCATTATTTAATTATAAATGCCTAAAGCAAGATTATTAAACTTTCCCCCCCACAAAAGCCACCTTGATTATAAAATTTCTTATGAACATCCTCACAAAATTAAATATTAAATTACATGGGTAGATTCTATTTTTAATATACACACACACACACACATATATATATATATATCAAAATTTGTGGTAAAAGATTATTAAACTGAAAATTCTACAACCATGAGATTATCTATTCATGTATAGCTAAATCACATATTATTAAATGGAAACTATATATTAATTAACTATAAATTATAATTTTCACTAGATAAGTTCTTTATATGAACAAAGAAATCTCATATTAATGCATTTATTATTCCTTCATATGTAGAAAAGATTGATGAAAGAACAAAAAAATTCTCCACTTTCTTCTACTATCCACTTACCCAATTTTGATTCTCCAACTTTTAGATAAAGAAAGGCATTCAATTCCTTCGCCTTTTCAAATTGAATTTCCCTTACAATTTCCTCTGCAGTTTTCATCTCAATGGTTACTACGACGATAATCGTTATGTGTATGGAGAGCAGAACGAGATAGATATATCCTATTTTTATACTTCAATCTTACTGAATAAAAAATTTATTAGCTTAATACTATTTTTATAAGGCCGAAGTAGATAAAAAAAATTTATTTTAACTTTTTAATCATGGCTCGGGCTTCATTTATTTATTTTTATTTTTTTTAAAGTTATTTTTATAGAAAATATCTATTTAAGTTTATATATATCTAAGAATAAAATAAAACAAATATATCTAGTATAATTATATTAATGATATACATCAACAAATTATCATAAAAAGTACACACTTAGATAAAGTTATATATATATATATATATATATTATGGCTTTCTATTATTATTATTTTTCAAAAGGTAAGAGTAGTATATTTATAAGGCATGATAGAGAAAGCTAATCCCAAGCATAACAATATTAAGTAAGAAAAACATAATATCAAGATTTATGAACCCTTTTTAGATTGGAAATAGTTTACTCGAATTCCCCATCCTTCTTTTAATTGTTTCAATAAGAAGAATTTAAAATTAATCAAGAACACGACTGTTTAGTAGTTATAACTCATGTGTTTTACTTGAATATCGTGAGTTTTATTTCTCTTAAAATGTATCATTATTTTGTAGTTGTATTACAATCTGACGGTGGTTGATATTTAATATTTAATTTAATAAAATATAAAACTTAATTCATTAATATGTTAATAAGACTGATGACTAAATTGATTAAGTACATGCAAAACATATATTCTGTCGTTAAGTTTCTTTGGTTGGAATACTATAAGAGTACAAACCTCAATTTAAAATATTTATCTTTAAAAAAAATTCAAAAATTATTGCAAGAAATGTACAATTACGAATAAGCTTCACCGATAAATATTATATAATTCTTACAGTACTCGAGTAAAATTATGATAAACTCATTTTTTTTCTTTTATAGATAAGGCTTTAAAAACAAAAATATGTAAGATTAAACTTTTAATTATATCAAACATCGAGATAGTGCGCGTCAGCTACATTGAGAATATTATGATAGTAAAAGTAATAGATGTAACAAATAATAAATTGACATATTATATAAAATAAATTGACAAACTAATTATTAAACAATTGATCCAATGACTTACTAATTGATATAATGATTTTCTCGAATCTAAGTGATGCGAGAAAAATATTTATAAATAATAAGAATAAGATTATACTAGTGTCTTAATGTACGAGTGACTAATCTATTAGTTCCTCCCGGCAACTTTTCATGATAAGATTAAAATTGGATCGAGTGGCTTAAAATATTTCATAAATCACATTCTTTAGCTATAAAAGTGGAGTAGAAATTTGTAGTATTTAGCAGATTTTGAGAGAATATATATATATATATATATATACAAACACACATATATAAGTATATGGTTCTCCTCCATTTTCTCTGTGGATTCTGATTGATCCATGCCGGGGGGAAGAGATTAAAAAGTGCTTTATGGACTGCCTTGGCAATACCCCACCAATAGACAAGTCCAAATCCTAAGGGGGGGAAAAGCCATTATTCTCAGCCCACAGACTAAGGAAAAGCAATTCGGACTTGTATAGAATATTTCTATACGTATACTTTATATCATAGATTGCCTGATTGGAAAAAAAAAAATAATAATAATAATAAATTCAATATTATCTGTCAAGAATTTTGCTTCCTAAGAATATTTTTTAAAAAATAATTTTATATTTTTTAAAAATTGAAGGTAGCAAATAATTGTAATTTTCGCAGCCCGAAATCTAATAATTTTCACTTTTCGTTTTTACAAAAGTATTTTAAATTTTTACCCAGTAATTTTAAATGTTAAAAGTTCAAAATTCCAACTAAACACACTCTTAAATCAACAGTATCTAATATTTACACACACACACAAAAAAAAAAAAAAAAAGCATACTACTTTTTATAAAAAGTTGATATGTCACTTCCCTAAAACTAAAGAAAAAGCACTGGACATGAAAAAAAAATGACCAACTTAATTTTGTTCCTTTGAGAAATAGATGGTGTACAGCTTGCTCAATTAGGAAACCTTCTCATGAAGAAAAATTCTCCACACACACATATATATATATATATAATATATATATGTATATATAATATATATAAATATATATATATAAAAAAGCTATGAGTAACAGAGCTTATTTGTGGAAACAGCAAAATTCCAACCCAATCTCCAATGTCTTTGCCTTGCTGTGGCTTTGCAGGCAACCTTTTTAGCATTATGGTTGTCATTATCTTCTATATTCTCTCCTCTTAGCCACCCAAATGGACCACAGTCACACACATATACATACATACATACATATATATATATATTACATATACGTAGATGTATATAAATATTGTAGTACAAGCCTAAAAATCGTGATAATCACACGACCGGATATTATAATTATAAAAACTATTACATTTTATTTTTCTAAATTTAATTATGATGATTAAATTGAATTTTCACTAAATACGTTAAAAAAAGTATTTTATAATAATTAAAGTTTTTTAAATTGGAATAATTTATTTGCTAGTAAAAACGCCTGCGCTGCGTAAGCAACTAGACCGGTGGTTTCCGTTTTATTTCCGTTCGTATATTTGGTCGGTAAACGTAACAGACTAACGACCCGGCGTCTGGGGTCTATGCTCTACTCCGCCTATCGGTTCTCGACCGTTGGATCTTCAACTACCAATGAGGCGCGTACATGAAATTATTCCCACACAACAAGCTCCACTCAACGGAACATCTCGCACCCAATCGCTGCTCTCTAAAAAAGTCACGGTATGGGGATTTAAACGTGGCACATTCTTGATGCAGGTGTAGGAAAATCATGTCTAGACGCGAGCATACCAAATAATTGTCCAAAAATATTATTTCTTTCTGTTAACAGTTCCGCGTCTGGCGTTCATTTCCCCTTTCCTCATCTTTTCTGGTTTAAGGACTGGAGTTTTCTCAATGGGAAGGAGAAGAGGGGAAAAAGAAAGAGAAAAAAATTAATTAGATATATATAGAAGAAGAGAAGAATCGTTAAGAGAAAATTAACTGACAAACAAATAAGAGCACGAGGAGTCAGCGAAGGAAACATCTCTCTCTTCTTGCTCTTGATCGAAGCACCGACGCTCTTTACTTGAAAACCCTAATCAATGGCTTCTTGATTGGTAGGTAAGCTCTCTAGTTTGTTTTTTAATCGCTTTCTTGATTTTTTGTATTCTACAAAGAAAATTTTTCGTAATCCTCTTGTTGTTTTGGAATTCGTGTTCTGCTTTATTTTTCTGATTGATTGTTGCCGTCTGGTCGTTGAGAAAGTGGATTATGAACCACAAATCCCGACTCGCTGTTTCTCTACAATTTAATTTGAGATTTTCATCTTTATTAATTCAAATAGTTGCGTCAAGCTCGTGTGTTGACTCATTGAAGACTAGGATAAGTCCTTCGTTTTGGTTTCAAATTTGATGAATTTGATGGTTATTATCAGGTTGATCAGTTAATTTGTTGGAAATCTCCTATAATTAGAAGGAATATATACACATATTATTCTCTACTTCTTTTCCTTCGAAACTATTTGATGTTAAGATTCTGCGTTTTGATGCAGGAAGGTTGGTTGATAGCTTTTTAACCAGAGACGTCATCTGATCATATGAAGTGTTTACTTCCTTGGATTGTTTCTCTAGCCACGGATTTGGATGTACTGTTTTTGCACGTTCTTCTATCGAACAAATATTTTTGCAGATTTGCGGAGGTATTAGTCAGCATGTGTAATTTGGATTTTCCTCGTTTCTTGGCGTTAAAATTGATTCAGTCACTTAATGCATATTTCTGTTCCTGATTTCCAGACAATTTGATTTTGCCTCATGGTTTTCCTAAATTTTTTTCTCAAAAACATTTCCAGGAAAGGAGCCAGAATTTATTATCTAATTTTCTTTCATTAGATTGAAGTTGACCTGGTAATAGATCGTATTAAATAATTTTCTTTCAAATCGATTAGGGATTCAAAATTTAGTTTCTTATTTATTCTTCGTTTGCTCAGTTTTCTCTAAAAATGGAGCCAGAATTGTGGAGATCTTGATTTTTAGTATCAGGTGTTTTATTTCTTCTGCAGGTGATCAGAGTGAGACTGAATTCTTGCTCTGGAACCATTCATTTATTATTGCCTTGGATCTGCAACCTGAGAAAGGAGAGGCTAGACTACTATGGCTGAAGGTGATGAGAATAATGGTATTGAGCTTAAATTTCGCATTTTCGATGGAACAGATATAGGCCATCGTAAATACGCATCATCGACTACCGTAGCAAGTCTTAAGCAAAGGCTTGTTGCTGAGTGGCCGGCAGGTTATCCATCTTATCTCTCCCTCCTTTCATTTTCCCGAAATGGTCAAAGTACGAAATTACATTTTCTGTTATCTGGCCACTCTTGGAGCTGTGTCGATTTTGAGGACCATTTCTATAATCTTCTTCGATTTGTCTTCCTATCTGTTATGCATTTTCAAATAACTAATAGGCACATGATGCTCCTGCTGCGGCCTTTGATCTATTTTAAAATTTTAAAGAGTTTGCATCTTATGGACATAAATTAGACTGTTGGCATGATTGATAGAGGACAAGTCAATATTGGAAAAAACTGCTAAAAATGCTTATCTTGGCTCAATCTCATTTTATTGAATGATGCAGGCCAAAAAGACGAGTTTAATAAATTAATTTGAATCAGCTGAAAAGATCACTGTTAGAATTATAAGAACATGTATGGCTGACGAATTTTGTATTGTCTTATGAAAAAATGAATAGTAACAGGATTTCATGTGTAAAGATGAACAGTGATGTAGTTAAGCCAATAATATTGCAAGGAAGTTATTTTAATGAATATTTTAATGAATATTTGAAAGGAGGGGAGTTACTGGGGTTATCATTTGGAGCAAATGAAGTAATTGAAGTGCTAAAACTCTGGCTTTAAGTTTTATTTTTTCCTATCTTTTGTTGCCATATGGATTCTCTTTTTCCCTTTTGCCTCTCTTTGTCTCTCAACTATCTTTCTAGTGTGACTAAAAGATCTGAAATTACAAGGTATTTTCTCCTTCCTCTTCTTCCTTTTTTTTTTTTTGTTTTTGAAGGACATGGTTATTGTGAGTTCACATGGAATATATCTAACCTCATATCCTCATCTGAGTGGTTTCTATTGCTGCATTTTCCAAGTTTTTTGACCATGTTTTCTGCTTCACAGATAAAACAGTGTCACCAAAGTCACAAAACGATCTGAAACTTATACATGCCGGTAAAATTTTGGAAAATGGAAAGACACTTGCTGATTCCAGAATTACCTTTGGGGAACTTCCTAGTGGTGTTATCACCATGCATGTAGTTGTACAGCCACTTGCACCTAAAAAGAAGACAGGTTTGTTCAGTTCTTTTCCATAAAACTTCATCGTAATATGGTGGTGTTTTTTGGTTTGAAAACTTGTTAGTGGTTGCTTGTATTTTTTATATATTGTTAAATAAGTAATGTTTTACTGCTCAAAAGAAAAACTTCATCGTAATGCAGGTGATCTCTTAGGCATTGCACAATAACTTTTCATCCTCAATTTTATTCTTTGAATTTCTATGGTACTTGTTTTTCTCCCACTGTTTTTATTTTTTTGGCAAATTGTAAATATAATACCTGTTAAAATTGTTCAAAATTTTGTTTCTTTATGATGTTCCCTTCCTCTTCCTGTTAAAAGAGAAGCAGAACAGAAGGATTTGGGAGTTTTCTGATATTGCATAAAGCATTGTTGATAACAGCTCGTGTATGAATCCAGTTTCTTAAAGTGTAGATAATTGAAACTACTTGATCCTGTTAAGGCACAGCATTGGCGTATGTCAATCTTTAAGTTTATTGGCTTGCCTTATGGGTATCGGTTACCTTCTATTTTGTTTGAGATAACCGGATTACCTTTAGATAACTGGTTTAGTTCATCAAGTTGTCCAGGAATAGTTGTATCCATTGGTCCTGTGATATCAAATGGAAAAGGGTTCATACACTTGGATTTAGATTAAAATGTTTAAAATCTTTATTTACTATTAACATCAATGCTTGCTTCATGTTGAATATAAAAGATATGGTAATTGTGTTTTTAATATTTTGGATGAGATCATAATCTGTACATTATTTCTCAGGTACTTTTCTTTGGAGTATTGATAACTGATTACATTAAGCTATCTATGTCGTATGTTTATAGAAGCAAGAGATAAATTGTGTAGTTGCGAGACCTGATTTACTTTTCTGTCTGTTGAAGAATTAACTATTGTTTTGCCATCACTATATGCTTTCTTCTCTCTCGTCCTCTGTTGTTATAAGTCTGAGTAATCATATTTCTGTGCTTCATGTTATAAGGTTGTGCCTCTTTTAAACACTCTATGATTATCTAACTGTCTCTTTATTTTTTCTCTCTCTTCTGTCCGATTTGGCGAGCAGCAAGCAAGAAGAACAAGGGGGAGATGCAGAAGCTGAATTCTTGCTCCTGTTCCATCCTTTAATTTGGGAAGCAGGTCCTGTTCCTGAAATTTTAATGTCTTTGTGTACTTGCTGTCCTTTATGATTCAGTCCACTGTTACAAGATCAAAATGGCATTGTCAGGATAGTTGGTGAGTTGTGTTAATGTTGTAATTAGTTTTCTTCTGTAAAATGCCAAAGGGGGCAGTTTGTTTTTTTTGCTTTTTTTTGTTTTTTGTTTTTTTATGCCACAACAAAAGTTCCTTCTATGTTTGGTTTCTTCCGTGGTTCAAGTTTGACGCCCTGGTTCAAATGTTCCTGTACTTAGTGAATTAATTGAGATGAGCCTCCCCTACATTGGGTTGGCAGTTTAGGTGTTTTATATTTGAGAATCAATCAATCTGAAATTTCATATTTAATGTCAATGGAACAATAAACTTTAAACATATTGAACATATAAGACAAGTGGAGCTCCACTTAAAATGGGGCCTTCTTACGCTGTCAAATATTATTTTGGTATGAGACAATTTTACATATTAATATTGACTTTCATTTAGTATTTTAAAAATGATATTAAACAAGATTTGTAGTGAATATAAATTTAGATAGTTTTTTTTTTTTATTTTTTATTTAATTTTGTCCAAGATATCTCTGAAATTCAAAGAGCAATCTCTTGTACTCCAATACAACCTCAAAGCTACATCTGTTATGGAATCATTTCAAATATCCAATTAATCAACCAATCAATTAATTTTTAATATAAAGAGTCAACTAGTATTTCAATAATATATTTTTAGTTTTAATATTATATAAACAACATGATATTGCTATGTTAGTTAAAAATACTACATAAATAATAGTTTATATTTAAATGATTTACAGTAAATATAAGAATTACCGATAATAAACTAATATTTCATTTTTATATTAAAAATATTAAAGTGGTATTACATAAATGAATATATTTATTAATTTAAAATATTATTCTACAAACTATGTTTTTGTTTCCGCTTTTATTTTACATTTTTCAAAAACGAAAATCAGATTCCAAACCGGCCCTAAACAGCCGCTTTTTTCCTCTCTCTCGTGTTGTCCTAACCCCCAAACGCCTACCGCCACCAATGGAGGAGGATGCTGTGCACCAGAGAGGACCAGATACCGGAAAATTCGAATACGGGTATACACACATCTATCACTGTTTAAATCATTTCTCTTCCCTATATTTCTATTTTGATTGATTTCGTCTTCAATTGCTTCTGCTTTCTGTTAATAGATGCGAACACTACAAGAGACGATGTAAGATTCGAGCTCCTTGCTGTGATCAGATATTTTCCTGCCGTCATTGTCACAACGAGGCCACTGTATCTCTCTCTCTCTCAATATTCATAATCGTACCTATCTGCATAGGTTTTATGCATTTATGTGGAAGTCGTGCTTATATATAAACACGAAAATGTTATTTCATGCCAGTTGACTTTGGGAATATTTTCCTTGGCTCTTTTTTGGTTACTGTGTTTACTTTAGAGCTTGCTAAGTAATCCAAAAGATCGACACGAATTGGTCAGGCGTGACGTTAAGCAAGTATGTTCTAAGTTTTGCTTGTTAATTCATTTTTAAACAATACATATATACATGTCTGCACTACTAATTATAATGTGATGGATTGAATCGATTCCAGGTTATTTGTTCCTTCTGTGACACTGAGCAGGAGGTATGGTCATTTCATGGACTTGGATTGTATATTGAGCAGTTTTTAATTCAAAGAAGATTATAGTCGATGCTTACATTCTTATTGAATTTCGCTGTTTTTTCAGGTTGCTCAATCTTGTTCTAACTGTGGTGTCAAGATGGGAGAATATTTTTGCAACATTTGCAATTTTTTGATGACGATGTAAGATAATCAAATTCAGCCAGTCATTCTTCAGATTAGCTATATTAGAATTTGCTGGTATGGGATGTGTGGTTTCTTTTGTTTTTTTTTTTTTACCTTCTAGTATTTGCAACTGACTGTAACTATGATAATTGCAGACATCAAAGGGGCAGTTCCATTGTGATGAATGCGGGATTTGTAGGTTAGTTAACAAATTATGGCTTCCTTCATTTCATTTTTAGAGTAACCTGCTATGAGCTATTTGAGCATGAAATTTATGTCAGATTACATGTTCTTGTCTAAATTGTGCTTTTTAGGGTTGGTGGTCGTGACAAGTTTTTTCATTGCAAGAAGTGTGGTACGTGTTAGTGTGCTTTTTTTTAGCAATTACTTTGTAAATTTAAGATCATTGAGACTATTAGCGGTCATAGTATAGTTTATATAGGTCTAAGAATAGAATTCAAGTGTGGTACGTGTTAGTGTGCTTTTTTTTAGCAATTACTTTGTAAATTTAAGATCATTGAGACTATTAGCGGTCATAGTATAGTTTATATAGGTCTAAGAATAGAATTCAAGGAACTTCCATAATGTGGTGGTTTTTCAAGTAACAAGCTGATGAATAATTGATGCAGGGCAGGCTGACTTGAGAAGCTATTGGGTGGAATAACTGTTATTTTAAATTATTCCATGGATTGGGAATTATATTTTTTTCCAAGTTTAGAGGAGTAATTTTATGGTCACGCGAGTAGGACTCTTGGTCGTAATTTGGATATTCTGGGAATTTTCTGGTTGTTTCTCTAATAGTTTCGCTTGGAGCTTGCCATCTCTTGCTTGCTGTATACATACATAAATGTCATTCTTCAAGTTTCCTTTTGGATTTTCAAGTCTTATTTGGACTGAGCTCATTTTGCTTTATAAATACACATAGTATCTATTTCCAGATAAAATACAAATCTTAAGAGAATTTTTAAGCAGTTTATGGTCCTTGTGGTTGTGGTTGTGGTGGAAAACCTTTCTTAAATGAAATCTTAAATAGGTGTGATATATAGGTTTTGGTAATAGTACACAGTTGTTTTTTCGGTACTATTTTCTTGACACTGTTCACTAGTATTGCTCATTGCACAGAACCTAAAGCATGCTTGTGCAATACCTACTCTTTAGAGAAATTCCAAGTAAGTGTTGCTATATTTTTTTCCTATTCACTAATGTTTTTGCAAGAGGACAGGATCTTGTTATGTGGTGAGTCTGCAAAATAATCACTTGTGCGTGGAGAACTCCATGAAGAATTACTGCCCTGTTTGTTATGAGGTTCGTCAGTGACCAGTGCAATCTTTTGATTATTTAAAACTTGTAAGAATTATATTTTTAATAGCTTTACATTTTATTCACAGTATCTGTTCGATTCCATCAAAGGCACACAAGTTATGAAGTGTGGGCATACAATGCATATGGATTGCTTCAAAGAAATGCTCAGACAAAACCAGTAAATTCAAATTGATTCTGTTATTTCAACATTATAATTTTTGCATCAAAGAGTCAACAGCTACATGTTTTGTATAATATAAATGGATTTCACTGCCCAGATATCGCTGCCCATTATGTTCGAAGACAATGCTTGACATGTCCGAACACTGGAACGTGTTAGATATGGAGGTAAGAAAATTTCCCCTCTTAATCAGTGGTCTCTTTGTTGAACTTTTATTAATTGGAAAGGTTATAGTAAGCTTGAATTTCCGTTTTCAAGGAAAAGGGATCAGAAGTTTGAGTTTCTTTTTGCACTGACATTATTTATGATTTGTAGCACTATTGGAGTGGAAAAAGGTACCCAATATTAAGCACGTTTACTTGTTACTTTTGTTAATATACTATGCAAGTACATGAAAAACTAGAAAAGATGCTTGATCTTAAGCAAGATCCTTTGTGGCAGTCATCATGAGAGGTTTTCCCCACAGGTAAGGATTTGGCACAATTTGGTAGAATGAGATTGAGTTAGTGGAAGTAGTTGGAGCTTGAACTGCCTAGGGAGTGTTTCTCTCTCTCATGCATGAGTGTGCTAGAGACAATCTTGTAAAATTGTTTAATCAATTTGTTCATAAAAGAAGCTGAGCTTGAGCTCCAAAAATAAACCAGTCTGAACTGCTGAATTGAAATAGCTGGAACTTGAACGTGCTGGTAGATTTTTTTTGCTTGAGAGTTTGGATTGCTGATATGCGGTGTTCCCAAGTATGTTTGTGCAATTTTCCCAGGACGAATTACCCTAATTGTGCAAAACTTCGTAAGAGCAACAGCTGCTTTTCCTTGGTTCTTGTGTTTGTTTTTACTTGTTTTAATTTACTATTCTGACTGGTTCTTGTTAAATTGTATAGTATTAATTATTTCTCACTGTATTGTGTCGTATAAATCATCTTGGCATTGATTCATCATGGTCTCTTATGGACAGATTGAAGCTACAAAGATGCCCGAGGAGTACAAGTATGAGGTTTCAATCCTATGCAATGATTGCATCAAATCGAGCCAAGTTATGTTCCACATTCTTGGCCTCAAGTGCAAATATTGCAATTCCTATAACACCCGCAGGATTTCACAGCCAGACGAATCCAATTCTGGTTGATTTGAGAATTTTGCTTAGCAATACACAGTAGCAGATTTACAGTTGCAACAACTTCCAAGCATGAAGTTTCTTCTGTTGACAGCATTTGAGATTCATTCAAGTGTCTGTGCCGTTTTCAAGTTTAGCTTTACAAATTTCCTTCTATTACTATATCTTACAATTTAGAATTCTCTAAACTTGATGCCTCGCAGGTGCAGCTCAATGGATTGCTTGAGCTCTTGTAGTTAACCTTCTATGTGATAAAAGGGTTGAAGATGCAATTCTCAGAGAAAACTTCCGGCATTAGTTGAGAGGTGTAAATGATATATATATATATATATATATAAATAATTGTTTTAGAATATTTTTTTCACATAAAAATTTATAATTTTATCAATATTAGTAAATCAAATACTAATCTAAAATGATGACTTTTAAGCATTCAATAAATTTCGAAAATGAAATGGAATACTTTGAATCACTCAGGATGACTTTGTGACTTTAAGCTAGACATGTTTCAGCTCTGTTGAAGGGACGAAAAGGTACAGACCCGCCATTTACGGCTATCCAAATCTGTGTACTTAAAAAAACATTGACCCACCTAAACTTAAGCTTGAGATGATTACTTTAATCTTTTTTAATTATTTGAATTTAATGGTACATAACAAATTCTGTGTATTAAAATCTTTTTGTAAGACAAGGCAAAGTATTAAATAATAATTTACTAAAAGTGTTTGATATTTATATATATATATATACATACATGTATATGTATATCACTTTCTAGTTATTTCATTGTTGAAAGCAGGGTTAAGTAGCTGGCCCCCCACAGAACAGAAAATATCAGCTCTGGTGTGATTAAACAAATGAAAATTTTGATTTCTCCTTGACCCTATTCTTCTATTACCATCTTTATAATTCTAAATAATATTATTTAATTTAAAAATTATTTGTATTATATTATGATTGATATATATATATTATTAAATTAATGAATATATATATACTTTTTAATGGTACTGTGATCTATATTATATTAAAAAGTAGTAGTATGCTCTTTATAAATATTAATTATTAATTATATTACGATACAATAACTACCCACTTACTATATACATGGTTAGATATGGTTGGATGGAAGAGATAATCAACCTCATTATTATAAATTGTAATTGAAAATTCTACATATATTCATATATATGTGTGTGTGTATATATGGAGATATTAAACTTGTTTTTAGACAAAAAGATGGAAGTCGAGTACAAATAATATTTTCTTTTATCTTTAACGATACATTTATGCGGCCAAGATACCTCGTGATTGTTCTTAGAAAATTCCATCTTTGCATTAATTATTTTTGGTTGAATTCCCAACAAAACCCAAATTTGTATTTTATATAATATTTTCTTAAATTGTTTTATATAATAATAGTATATAAATATCTGATATATTTTACACACACTAATTATAATATAAAAATTAAATTTTAAATAATAAGTTATAATTTATAAGAGATTAATTTATTTAAAGTTTGTGGGAGGCAGTCAAATTTAAAGCGGGTGGTGTCTCTCTCTCTCTCTCTCTGTGTCTTGTTTGTTTTGTAATGCAGAAAAGCAACCCATGACCATTTCTGTACAAATTCATTGTAACTTCTCAAATCTTCTCTCTCTCTCTCTCTCTCTCTCTCTCAAGTGTAAAGCCTGCTTGTTCACCAAGAAACGATAAACCTCTGTCTCTCTCTCTCTCTCTGTCTCCCCCCTCTTGTCAAGATATTAAGCAACTTGAAAATGAAAGATCGCATGAATGAGTTTTAAACCCACAAAAAGTGAACAGACCTTTTTTATTTCTTAACTCACAAAAAAAAAAAGAGGAGAAAACCCATGAAACCCACAGATTCATTACCGGAAAACCCAGCAATGAAATCCCGGAATCAACAGAAACGATTATGCGATTACTGTAACAACACAACAGCTCTCTTGTATTGCAGAGCTGATTCCGCCAAGTTATGTTTCTCTTGCGACAGAGAGGTTCACTCTGCCAATCAGCTATTCACCAAGCACTCCCGCTCGCAACTATGCGACGTCTGTGACAATTCGCCTGCCTCCATTTTCTGCGAAACAGAGCAGTCTGTTCTCTGCCAAAATTGCGACTGGGAAACTCACAACTTGTCTGTTTCTCTCGTTCACGATAGGAGACCCATTGAGGGGTTCACTGGGTGTCCCACAGTGACTGAATTGGTCGCCATTGTTGGACTTGAAGGGTTGGGTAAGAAAGCTCTGTTTTCGAGTGAAGATGACGGGAAACTTACGGGGTTAAATCAGTCTGATATTGATGGGTTATCGGAGCTGCTTGTTTGGGAGACTCCGACGTTTACTAGTCTTGACGATTTGATTGTTTCCGGCGAGTTGGATCACAATTTTCGGGCTATGGATGTTCCTTCTCTCCCGGCAAGTACCAGTTGGGTCCTTCTTGTTTGGGTCTAATTTTGTGTTTTCTCTACTATTTCTTTTTGGGTCTGTTCGTATATATTTATGAACTAGAGCTGGGTAGTTTCAATTTTTAGGTAGTTGGTTGCTTGGTTTTGATATCTAATTTCACTTACTTCACTTCTGTTTTATATAATTTTGTTGGATTTCGTGTTAAGTTTGAGCATATACATGCCTAAGCTATGTTGGAAACTAATGAATTCAAAGTCACATTTCATCAGCTCTAGTAATAAAAATGTGTATTTGCAAATGAATTTTTCACAAGTTTAAGTGGAATTTATTTGCTTCAAACATGGTCTTAATGTTACTATTTATTCAGGAAGTAAGAGTGAGAGGCCTTGTATTTCTATGGAGTAAGGTCAGGGATCGGGGGCATTGGGACTAAAATTTAGTGTTAATGGCAAACTCCTGCCACCTACAATCAATCTTATAAATCTTTATCTTCTTCTATCGTGATTTCTTAGTTCTTTTTGTTATTGATGTTGTTTAGTTTATTGGTGGAAAACAGCTTTTGTTGGTTGTTGGAGAGGAATAAGAATAAGCCTGTTTCTGTTTCATTTTTTTATTTTTTGATTAACAGATTTTTATTATTTGCTTGTGTTCAATTGGATCATTGATCGTTCTTTATAAATTAGATCCCGATATCTTTGCTTTAATCTTTTTCGTAGGGAAAGAGATTCCTTGATTGTTGTGTGTATTTATTGAAGCTACATATACACTATTGTAAATTTTTCCTGGTTTTGGATATTGTCATTGAATCAGAATCGAAATGCTGCTTGTGGACAACACAAGGAAGACATACTGAGTCAGCTCCGGGAGCTGGCAAAATCAGAAAATTTGAGTTATGATAATGAAGATGCTGAACCTGTTGTCAATTTCCAGTTGCTGGCAACAGAATGGAATATGCAGCATGGCAATACTTTTGTAGGTTCCCAGCATGAGGAAGATCAGATTTCCTTCCCTACTTGCCAGGTAAATATATATATATATATATATGTCTATATATATAATTCCTGCTTTCCTATTCTTCCTAAATTGGCTTCTGATTTGAGCTCTATATCTTGTTTGTTGTTCTCATGTCAGCATAACATATTCCAAATTTGATTGGTTTGCCATGTTCATCTTCTTTGATTCTTGATCGATTGAGTTAGTGAAAGGTGATTTTTGGGGGATTTTGCTACTGATTATGTTGAGAAAGGAGTTGGCTTCAAAATGGCAGCAAGTAACTGAGCAGTTTCGAGTCATGGGCATATTGTTTGAAAGGACAGACACTAGTTGAAATGCTTAACTAAGTCTATGATACTAGACTATGCCCTTATATTCTCAAAATGCAGAGGAATATAGAACATTAGCAAATATGTACAAACAAAGAAACAAGCTGGGTTGCATTAGCAATATCTTTCCACTGATTTTTGCCTTGCTCCTATAGGAATTTAATGTATTATTTATTTCATGATTGAAAAAAAAAGGTACATGTTTGGACCCGATTCGTAAACCTCTTGGTCACAAGGCTTTCATTTTCCATCAAATATCTTGCTATTTTTACAAATATCTGGTGAAATAAGAGGCAGCTTCACACATTAGTTTTTCCGGTCACTGGGTTGAAATATTGAAATATGCCTCTATCAACTTATCCTTCATGTTGGGTTGGTACCCTCTTGGTGCTTGTTAATAAAAATTTATACTTTTTATTTCAGAAAAACTCATCCTTCACGTCAACGAAATATATAGAATCCTTCTTACCAAAACTACCTTTTAACCGATCAAAGGATGTGGAGGACTCTCATATTTTGTGGGTTCACTTCCATTTGGTTAATTAGTTCAATTATTCTACAAAATTTTCTGTCTAATTTAGCTTCTGCTTTTTCCTTAATGCAGGCAGCTGGATTTAAATGGATTGGAGATAGGGATGAGCCTGCAGATCAAGATTTTCTTCCTTCATTATTACAAAAGTACATCAGGGAAGATTCTACGATTTCTAACAAACTGATAGATATTAGTGGCAGCATAAATCAGACTAATGATGTGCATGAGAGTATTTCACAAGAACCAATTAGTAACAAGACCTTACCGCCTTTCCCAAGGGTTGCTCAACACGAGTTCTTGAACAGCCAGGAGAGAGATTCTGCAATCTCACGGTATAAGGAAAAAAGGAAAACAAGAAGGTGAAGTTGGAAATAACTCTTTGCTTTATGTCTGTGACTTTTCATGGCTTAACACCTTTGGAATTCTTAACCAGACATGTCTTATGGAAAACAACAGGTACGATAAGCAGATAAGGTATGAATCACGAAAGGTTCGGGCTGAAGGTAGGACAAGAATCAAGGGGCGTTTTGCTAAGGTGGATCGCGGAAATACTGGTACGAATTTTATTTTGTTAGTATAATCACTTTCACTCATAGTTATCTCGCAATATTCCTTTTTTTCTGATGAGTTTTGGTTTGGATTTTAGTCTTGAAGGAAATTAGTGATTCATACACTTGATCTCCGAGTTATTGTGATTTTGACCAAATCCTGTTATTTGTTCAGACTTTAAGATTCGATGAAAGTAATATAAGTTATGTGAATGTAATGAATTGCAAATTTGATAGAGATCATTTTCTAACCAACACTTTGATGTAGGACAAGTAGTGGTAGAACCAGAATTATTCTACAAGTAGATAAATAGAAAAAAAAAATATGGGGGAAGAGAATAAAAGAATAAAGACAAGCCGAAGAAAATTAGGGATAAATGCGAAAAAATATAAGAATAAATCGAATGAACGAGATAGATTAGAAAGAATAATGACAAAAAACAAACACATGGAGAGATAATAAAGAATAAAACCCAAGCTAATAGCCTTTATACAGGCATTAATTATGATAAGTAAAATTACAAAAAGAAATTTAAAATTTTTAATTCTTGTAATATTTAAAATTTATCTAAAATGAAAATGAAATATTAGAATGAACAGAAAATCATAGAAGATGATAATGTAAGTATGCATCACATTTATTTCAATTATGAGATAATGTAATTTTATTAGAACATTAAAAAAAATTAACCCCATTTAAAATTTCATATAGAATTTTATATGGTCAATTGTTATATCATCATCCTCATACAATCTTTAAACTTCTAAATTCACAAATAAATTTTACTAAATTTCTATATTTACTCCAAACATAGCCTTAGAAACTGATTAAAAAGTTCAATAATTTTCACAAATGATTAATTCGTATGATCTGTGTGTTCAATTCGTATTTTATTTTTAATTTTCCAGTATC